GGGCTCATTTAATATGCTTTCTTTGACTGCTGATTGGAGTATATGACCTAGACAGTTCTGTTCAGAGACCAAATGATACGCCTGAGCACCTCCAGCAGGCTACACAAGACCAGCCTTGAGACCCAGTGACATCTTTGAACTCTGGCTCTTTTCCTAGAGCTTGATTAGAGATTTTATCCTGACTGCCAAAGACGAATGGGAAGCTGTAATGAGAACTGGTGTTATTTCAGGATCCATTGATATGGAGGAGAGAATCTACAAATTAGAGGCTAGTACTACTGAAAAGCTATCTATAAATCTAAAAAAAATAGTTTTAAAGAACCACATCATTATATATCATGCTATAAATAGGCATGTGATATATAAAATGAGCATAAAGCATATGGAAAACAATCTTTGTAGATATTGTGAATATGAATTTTAAATGCTACCATAAATGTTTTTCTACCTCAAATTCATAGTGCTATAAAAGTTGGAATCAATGGAAATTTTATCATTTGAAAAAGGAAAACGTATCCACCACATCTCGTTTGATGTTCTTTTTACTAAAAGAACATTTGGGTGAAATGGAGGAGGTAAACATACAACCCTCTGAAAAACATACATTGTCATTAGTAGTATTTTTCCACACACACTTTTCTTGACTTTTATAAATATATAGAATAACAAATTATTTTTTTTAGGAAGACCTGCAAATGCTGAATTCTGAATTCTGGTAAGCATGCTGTTAAACATGGATTAATTTTGTTTGGATTGTATTCTTTGCTTCTGAAAATCAGCCAACTTAAATTTAAATCTGAGCTAGAGGTCTGTTTCAGTGATCTAGTGCAACAGGAACAAAAATACCACAAGTGGATGACTTTAATAACAACAACAACAAGTATGCTCTCACAATGTAAAAGACTAGAAATCCCCAATTCAGGGCATGATCATCTAGGGAAAGCCTTTTCTCTCTGCAGGCTCTGGAGGACGTTTGTCTCCTTTCAAAGTCTGTGGGCCCTGGTGTACTTGGGAAATCATATGTATTGTCCTAGACCTGCCCCTGGGTTTAATGGGTATTTTGTACAGGAATCCCAAGTCCCAGCCAGCTCTTCTTGGTAATAGTTGTCTGCTTGCCTGTACCTCACAAAACTCTCCTTGCATCTGATCAGGTATGAGGCCTGAGTAAAAAGATTTGGTGTGGTACGTGTAGAGGGTGTGCCAACTGCAAGGGAAGAAGTTCACAGTCACAGCTGCTTCATGGGAGGAAGCTGAGGCTTCCTACACCCATACAGACTCACTGTAAGTCCTAATCAACTGTGCTGTGCATTTGTTTCATTTTGTTTGTCCTATTCTAAGGTCCTTACAATGTCGTGTAAGGTCACATCATGGAGAATAATTATGTCATTATATGACTGCCAGACCACTGAGAACCATGACCCAGCCAAGTTGACACATATTTAGGGAGAGGGGGTACAGTTCAATCCATGACAATCCAAAACACTTAACGAACATGGTGAGTGTAACCAAAAACAACAAAAATTAATAATCATACTAAATTACCAGTGGGATTTGCTGCTAAAATTGATCAAAGTATTCAGTAAAGGATATCCATTCATGATCCTCTATTTCTCCATCAAGTTATTCTAAATGTCCCTTTGATTTTATGAGTTGAGTTTTCTGTATACATGAAACATCATGATATTTCCATCACATTCACAATTTCCAACGAGAACCTCAAATCACTTAGGGGAGAGACACATCACCCGATCCTAATGTCTCCTTCTAATGGTTGGTCATACAGAAGATATACCTAAGACCACATTATTTTTATCTATCAGGATTTCAGTGCTTTGATCCATTCAGCAAAACAAAGTTCAAAGTTTCATACAAGCTCAGGTATGGCTTATATGGCTTGTAACATGAGACAATCTGCAGGAAACTGTTCGGAGACAGCACGGCTCTTTCTCACCTGGACCATTATCCTAGCAAATTGATTACCCCCACCATGGCATGCAAGGCAAATTTGTACTGTGAGCTCTCCTGGTGCCCTCGTTTTCTCTTTTTCCCTTCCTCGTGTTTTAGCCATTCAAGCGAATGTACCGCTGAGACCCTCCTCTCTGCTCCTCTTACATGGTGTCTTTTCTTTGTTCAGAAAGCACAGATATGCTGCGGGAATTCTAAATGTTTACTGTAGTGACTTTTGAAAGCTCAGTATTTTTAAGCCAAGGAAACTGGTGTTTGAAAAACCATTTCTCTATTTTAATCCAACCCACTGCCTCTGTTACAAAATACAATGCAAAAATATTTGCTTTAAATAGTTAGCAGCTACCAGTTGAACTTAAGACTTGAGGCTCAAAAATAAAAAGAGGTACGGATATAGAAATGGGACCCAAAGGATTCATTTTAACTTTGTATTAGCATTTAAAAAGGGGGATTCCTTATAAGGATAATTTAACGGTTCTCAACATTTGCCAGGTCTGCATACATTCACTTATGAGAACTCAGCAAAGGAGTTTTCAACTGAGGGATTCTTGCTTTTCATCAATCTATTGGGGGGCTCTTACAAATCTTATGACAATTCATCATTCAATTATATTCAGCATAGTTGTACATATGTTACCATCAATATTCTACTGGATCCCTTGGTAACAGCTCCTCTTTTCCCCCCTCTGTTCCCCAGCCTCCCACCTTCGTGAACCCTAGGTCAATCACATATTATTGTTGTTATTTCATGTCTTACACTGTCTGTTGTCTCCCTTTACCCATATTTCTGTTATTCGTCCCCTGGGGGAACCTGGTGATGGGCTGAGGGATTCTTTGAAGGGGTTTGCTTGTCACTTAACATATGAACTATCTCATCTAGCATCAATATCATGTGTACATTTTATCAGTTTCCCATCTATATTTTTTGTATGCATGCATTTTGCATGCATGCATGGATATGTGTTTACACATATTCACATCCAGCTTGGAAATCACTATTTATTTTAGCTCCTTTTGAACCAGTTGCTGGGAAGAGCTGTGGAATTTGACATTTTCTCTGTTTACTTTTCATAATATTTCACCTTCATTATTAAAGATACAAGTGAGTATAGTTGATTTGGATTTTTAAATGTTCAGAGCTCTCACTTAGAAAGCTGTGTCCACTTTACAATCGTGGAGTCCTGGTTTCACTTTGTTGTGTGGTTCCTTTCAAAGCTGAGATCACAGAAGTAGATGAGCAATAATCATTTATTGATAAACCACCACCATCGGTGATCAGCCCATGACCCTTAAAGGGTTGTCACTTTATCCTTTTGTTCTATGAAATCTATGACTCTCTCTCCAAGCCCAGATACAAAGCATTTCCAGAACACTACCACCCAGTGAGGAGCTCATCTTCCTCAGCCCTTCCTCAGAGACCGTCTGGTCCTGACAGTGTGCATAGCATGCCCTGCCTGGCTGTATCACACACAGCCAAAACATGCGTAATGGAACTGCTATCACTGAATTACACAGGTGGAAAACATGGACTCCACCATGGTTGTGTTATATATATATATTTACAAAAATAAAAAAGGGAAATTAACAACAATGCCCCCCCCCGCCCCAAAAAAAACAATTAATAAAAGAACTGGTTTCTCACTGCTCAGAGGCTGGATCTTTCTGAACATGGGACACCTGTGACCTCATCACGGAGAGCCCCGTGTAACCTACCCAACAGTGCAGCATCGGACTATTCAGGGAAAGCAGGGCTATTATATTCGATCTTTTAAGTGCATCATTTTGTGGGACAGATGCTCAGGGGGAGGGAAATTTGCCAAGAAAGGCTTTAAAAAGACACAGTAATTAGCTGGAGACATCATGCCTCTCCCAGGGCTCAAGAAAGGCAACGTTCCTGGTGTACTGTGTGGGGGAAAAAAGTGCCCTTTTAAAATACACCATGACTCTCTGCACATTTTAGCTCTCAGCCATCAGGCGATATAACAGCATTCTTTCCCACACATGTCCACCTGAGGTCAAATATTGATTTTGAAGCTGGATGAATAAAATAAAACATTTGTGAAAGAGCAAATATCAGTCACACCCAGCCAGCCAGATATTATCAAATATCAAGCAGCCAACATTTAGATTCTGTACTGTTCAAACTGTCAATAATATGACCTCTATGAATTCAAATTCAGAGTCCTCTAATACTTACCTTTTATACTTGAGGAGATTCATCTAAAAAAAAAAAAAAGCAATACTCTGTTTTCCTGAGATTCCATTGGCTTCCTCCTTCTCTGCCTCCCTCCTTCCCTTTCCCTTTCTCTTTCCCTTCCTTCCTTCCCTTGTTTCTCTCTTTAGTAATAAAAGGGCCAGTCAGAACTGCAATGAGTCACGTTGTGTTGTCAGGAACCACTGACTCAGTTCCTATTCGGAGCAACCCTGTGCCCAACAGATGAAACACTGCCTGGTCCTACACCATCCTCATGGCTACCCATTGTTGCAGCCACTGTATCCATCCAACTGCTCCTCAACCTTCCTCTTTTTTACTGCACTTCCACTTTACACAGCATGCTGTCCTTTTCCGGGCAGAGGTCTCTCCTGAGAACGTGTGCGAAGTATGGGAAACCAAGTCTTGTCGTCTTGCTTCTAAGGACAGGAACATTTCTGCCTATATTTCTGCCCAGTTGGAATGATTTGGTCTCCTGGCAGTTCATGATATTTTCAATATTCTTCACTAGCACCATAATTCGGATGCATCAATTCTTTTGCAATCTTCCTTATTATTCATCGTCCAACTTTTCCATATATATGTGTATATGTATATATATACTGTTTATATAGCGATTGGATCAAACAACCATCAGTCTTCCAAGTGACACCTTTGCCTTGTAATTCTTTAAAGAGGTTTTACAAGTAATTTGCTTAATTGAGCAAATGGGTAAGTCATTTGATTTCTTGACTGCTGCTTCCATGAGCATTGATTATGGTTATGACAAACTAAAATCCTTGACTACTTTGACTTTTCTTCATGGTGTTGTCTACTGATCTAGCTGCAAGAATTGGGACGATCTGGACTCCGATGAAGAAGAATTGGAATGTGGGGATGCTGAGACGGGGGATGAAGGCGCCGAGGAGGAGGAGGAAGGGGCTGAGGAGCGCCCGCCCCTTGGGGCCATCCCGGTAACAGACTGCTTATTTTGTTCCCATCATTCAAGCTCTCTGATGAGGAATGTGGCGCATATAACAAAAGCTCACAGCTCCTTTGTTCCCGATGTAGAATATCTTTGTGATCTGAAGGGACTGATTCGCTATTTGGGGGAGAAAGTTGGGGTGGGGAAGATTTGCTTGTGGTGCAACGGGAAAGGGCGGTCCTTCTATCCCACAGAAGCCGTGCAGCCCCACATGAACGACAAGAGCCACTGCAAGCTCTTCACAGACGGCAACGCTGCCCTGGAATTTGCCGACTTCTACGACTTCAGGAGTAGCTATCCAGATCATAAGGAAGGGGACGACTCCGAGGAGGCCTTGCCCTCGGAAAAGAACGTGGAGTATGATGACGAAACCATGGTGCTGGTTCTACCTTCTGGTGCCAGAGTGGGCTATCGCTCCGTGATGAGGTACTGCAGACAGCGGTTTGGTCTGTCGAGAGCCGTGACGGTTGCTAAAAACAAGGCAGCCGTGGGCCGAGTCCTCCAGCAGTACCGAGCCCTGGGCTGGACTGGCAGCACAGGTGCAGCCCTCATGCGAGAGCGGGACATGCAGTATGTCCAGAGGATGAAGTCCAAGTGGATGCTGAAGACGGGCATGAAGAACAATGCCACCAAGCAGATGCATGTCAGGGCCCAAGTGAGATTCTGAGTGTGGGCACAGGGTTAGGGACGCCCTCCTGAGCAGGCAGCCCCTGGTCTGGGCGCCCGTGGAGGCAGCTGGGGGAGGGAAACCCCTTTATGCTGCTATTTCTCCCAGCCTCCACCTGGTCTGACCGCATAATAAAAGTCAGAATTTGGGGTGTACTTTTTTGCATTGAATTGTAATTCATAATAAAGACTACAGTCCTTGATTGTCATCCGCATGTGATTCAAGTCTTCACTTTAAATCAACAAGGTTGTGTCATTGACATGAGGTAGATTCTTAATGAGCATTCCTCCGATCTTGGTGGCTTCTTCTTCTTCATATAATTTGCATTCTCAGACTATTAGCTGAGCACACAGATTGAATAAATATGGGGAAAGCATATAGTTCTGATCACACCTTTCTTGATTTTAAACCATGCAGTATTCTATTGCTCCGCTTAAAGGACTGCCTCTTGATCCATGTATAGATTACCCAGCAGCACAATGAAATATTCTGGAATTCCTGTTCTTCTCAATGTGATCCGCAGTTCGGCAGGAGATGCACAAGTCAGCGTCCTTCTGGTGTGCTTTCCTTTTAGCAAGATTCCTCCAATGTCCACAAGGATAATTCATAGTATGGCATTGTGCCTCCATGAGCTTTGCTTTATACTCTGCACAAATTATTAAGAAACTCTTGGGAACCAAACAGAACAGACTTTTGACCTGTAATGCATAATTATCTAAGACAGAAATGGCTTATATTCTGTTATTGGTTTCTCTTTATGTCAGCTATCTGTTTTATATTGCATCCTAGCTCCTGTGCTAGCGATTGTGTTTTAATATCTCTCATATGGATAACATTTTAGTATTTCATAACTTTCTGATGTTTCGTTTACACCATTCCATCCATTGAACAATATTGATTATGAGATCATTCTGGCGTGAAATGGTGAGGACCAATTCACTGAATAGACAAAATATGGGACAAAATTAGTAATGAAAGGTAGGAATTATACAAAGACATGGAAAACTGAAGCTTTAATGGAAAAGTATGCTTCCAAAGTTACATATAATTGGAAGAAATGCCTGGCAATCTACTTCCAAAAAACCCCCATGAAAACCTAACGGATCAAAAGGTCCTATCACAACATACCATGGTTATCGTGTAGGACGAGGTGATAGTCCGTTCTCTAGCCATCGTGCACAGGCCACCGGAGGTTGCTGGCTGACTCCATCGCAGCTGACAACAATAAGTACAAGCAAACACCACAGGCAGAAGAAAACATGACTGTTCAGAGAACACTGTATTCTAAAGTCTGAAAGGGAAGTATCCACTTACCCCTTGTATATTTTGAGATGGCTATGTCATCTGCATATTGCAGGTTGTTAATAAGCCTTCCTCCAACCCTGATACTGCATTCTTCCACATATAATCCAGCTTTTCTAGTGATTTGCTCAGCATACAGATTGATATTGAAAAGATATGGAAAGAATCATGGACTGCCAAAAGAAATTAAAAACCCAAAGAGATCTGTTTCAAAAGAAGTCTAGCCATAATGCTTCTGAGAGTCAAGGATGGTGAGACTTCATCTCACATCACATCTAACATACTTTGGACATGTTATCAGGAGAGACCCGTCCCTAGAGAAAGAACGACATCGTGCTTGGATAAGTGGAGGGCCAGTGAGAAGAAGAAGGCCCTCAGTGTGATGGATTGACACAGTGACGAACACTGGGCTGCCACAGAAGAACAAGGGTGTGGCTGGCAGAGAACCGGCTAGTGTTTCGCTCTGTAGTGCACAGGTCGTGATGAGTCCCAGCAGACTCAATGGCACGTAACAGCAACATGGACCCCTGGTGGTGCTCCGAGTTAAGCTTTGGGGTATTGGAAAGATTGGATTTTCAAATCCACCGTTGTTCTGCTGGAGAAAGAGGGTACTGTCTGCTCCCTTAAAGATTGACCAAGCCTCCAAACCCTGATTTCCATCTCAAAACTCACTGCTGTCAAATCAGTTCTGAATCACAGCGACCCTAAAGGACAGGGTGCCACGGCCCGTGCGGGTTTCTGATGCAGGAACCCTGGACAGAGAAAATTCTATATAAAGTTGCTAAATATTATAATTGACCAGTGGATTACTGGATACAGATGATGTGAGATCAGGTAGGAAAGGTACATTGAAGTGATATTGTGATTGACTTAGGAAGTCTTTTGAAGAATTTGAATACTACAGTATAGTAGTCATGTTTCATGTACTCCTTCAGTTAATAAACACTTATGGCATGTATATTATATGGTGTTCGAGGTACTAAGGAGACAGCAGTAAAAATCAAGAAAAAAAATCCCTGTCTTCATGGAATTTATCTTCCATTATTCTGCATCAATGCCTACAGGGCTGAGGTCGGTAGCATCAATAAGCAAGATAGCCAGGAGAAGTCACAAGGACTCTGGGGAGGAGACAATGGAAGACTGCTCTCCTCCAGATGCTGCTTGTCATGGGCAGCAGAGAACCCAATACTATCAAATCATTGATATGTCAAGACAATCCAGGAATCTGGATTTTTTAAATACCTCCATTTTTAAATATTGACAATATTTTAAAGAAATTTTTAGAAAAGCAAAACATGACTAGGGGGTCATACACACCTCCAAGGATCCAATAATTTACCTTAGTTTTACACAAGTAGCAGTCATTAGAAGTTTTCTAAGCAGGAAAACTTATGCTAGTACTCATTAATAGCAGTAGAGAGGTACACTAGGGACTGAGAGACCAGTTAAGCTGTTCTTTCTACAATCCTCAGCCATCCTCCCAATTGCTGTTATGTTTGAATTCATTGTTTCAGCCAGTGTGTCAATCATCTCCATGAAGATCTTGCTCTTTTCAGTGCCCTCTACTTTACCAAGCACAATGGTGTCCTTTTCCAAGGACTCGTCTCTCCTGAGAGCAAGTCTAAAGTACATAAGTGGAAGTCTTAACACTCTGCCTTCTAAGAAGCATTTTGGTTGTACTTCCTCCAAGACAGACTGTACTTCTAGCAGTCCATGTTTTTTTTCAACATGCTTTGCCAACACCATAGTTCAAATGCATCAATGATTCTGTGGTCTTGATTTGTGGTCCAGCTCGTACACGCATGGGAGGTGATTAGAAATACCACGGCTTGGATTACATGCACCTTAGTCCTCAAAGTGACATCTTTGCCCTTTTTTGTGTGTGTGTGTGTGTGTGTGTATAAGAAAGAGCTTTATATCAAGAGCAATTGTATATGAAGAACATGTCCCAGCCCAGTCCAGATCAAGTCCATAAGTCCAATATTAGTCCATATGTTTGATATCAGACTGTAAATTCCTCCTCAGACTCACACACACGTGCAATGACACTAAATGCAGGAAGATCACAAGCCAATGGGTGGAAAGTCTTGCGGATCCAGTGGTGGAGAAACATCTCAGTGTTTTCATGAGTCTCCAAGTGGCCCCTCCAGATCCAGGGCTCTGGCTTTATCAGTGTAGTTCCATGTGGCTTGTCAACAGGAATGTCTGACAAGGAAAATGTGTGTCCCATCCCCAGGGAGGAAGACAGGAGTTCCCAGAACCCTCAGGAGAAGGCCATGCCCACACAAAGGCTTCTTTAGCTATGACCTGATTGATAGGCTAGACCCCACCCCATCTTTGCCCTTGAAAGAGGTTTTGTGCACCCAATTTGCCAAATGCAATACATTCTTTGATTTTTTTATTGCTGCTTCCATGAGCATTGATGATGCACTAACTACAATAATACATACTGCGAAATGCATATCTATTCACAATAAAATTAAAGGGTTAAAACATAAGATTCGCTTCAGTTTCCTTAGCTTATTGTTATGTGCATAAACACATCCCAAGGAGAAAAAATATTTTTTAATACTTTCCTTTAGAACCCACTGAATTCATTTAGCTTCAATTTTTGCTATACAATTACTGATGTTCTCAATTCTGGGTTCACATTCTCAAAAGTTTCTCTCTAGTTACTAATTAATGTGAATGTACCCAGGATTGTGAATGGTGAATCTATATATTTTTACGATGTTTATAGTCTGACTTCTATCTTATTCCACGATTGGAGAGTAAACTAATGTCTACAAAGCAGTAGTGAGGTTTTGTTTGCTTGTTTTAGCCTTGGTTTATTCTAGAATATCTATAAAGTAATGTTGCTGCCTTCCTTCCTTCCTTCCTTCCTACCTTCCCTTGCCTTTCTACAGCTGTTGTTAAGTGCCAGTGAGTCAACTCTGATTCAAAGCAAATTTATAGATAACAGAATAAAATGTTGCCTGGTCCTGAACAATCCTCATGATTATTTCTAGATTTGTGTTCATTCTCTTGATAAAAATTAATGCCCAAGTGGCATATTGTGCGGTGCTTTATTCCTTACTATCAAAATGCTGATCAATTAACAATTAGTTAACATTACATGATATTCCTTCTTTTGTCTCCATATAACCTGAGGTATTCCTCTATAGTAATGACAATGAATATGTACAAAAGGATAATGTGCTTCATTAGACTTTTATTTAATTAACACCGAATGGAAAAATACATGGACCAAATAGAAGATGAACAGTTCTTTCTCTTCGCCCTCTTATTCTCTCCTTTTTCTAACAAAAACAATTTATCATTTCAACTTTTCCTGATCCTTCTCCAAACTCACAGTTTTAAGTCCAATCAAAAGATGCCAACATAGTCCCAAAGTGAGAGAGTACTTTGGCTTCTACACACCGCCTGTCTTCCTCGTCTTTAAAAGGGGTTTAAAGCCTTTTCTTTCCCAGGCTGCCAGTTACACTGAATTGTTCTGAAATGTGAATGATTTTGTGTGTGTCTCTGTATACATATGAGCTTCTATCAACCAGAGCAACAATGAGAACTTCACACTTGTCATTTACTAAGACCTGCCTTTTGAGCGCTGTCAGTCATGCCTGTACATATGTGTTTCTTAGTTAGAGCAGCGTTGTTTGTATGGCAGCTTCTGTTTAGAAAGTCATGTCGCTAGTTGGCAT